AAAGAATCACGTCTCGCGGAAGCCTGCCAGAGAGGGGCCGTCAGTCGTGTGCAATTGGTGTAACAATCTTGTGCCCACCGACGGTTCTGCCACAGTGCCGGACCAGCGGGGAGGGACTCCTGAGTTGGCCATGAAGGAGCCCGTGCGTGGACACCTTGCTCCGCATGCCGCTAGCGTACTGATGAAGTTGCTGTACGGTGCGCGGATTGCTCGCTTCGATTTGTTGCGGCAAGTGAATCGCCTAGCACGGAACGTGCACAGGTGGACGACTCCGATGATCGGGGTTTGCATCATTTGATGTGCTATGTGCATCATACTAAACATTGGCGCATGGTCGGTTGGGTTGGAGACCCTATGGATGATGTGCACTTGGCCTTGTATGCGGACGCTGACTTTGCGGGATGCGTTGACTCGCTACGTTCCACCTCTGGTGGACACTTGAATATACAAGGGCCTAATACCCGGTTTCCGTTGTCTGGCAGCTCCAAAAGACAGGGTTGTGTGAGTCATTCCACTCCCGAGGCCGAATTAGTTGCGGCCGATGTTGCCATGAGATCGATGGGTATGCCTGCTCTAAAGTTGTTAGAGCGGATTCTCAAGAAGTCACCGAACTTTGTGTTCTATGACGATAACAAGGCTATGATCGGTGTTGTGCGATCGGGGAGAAACCCCACGATGCGCACCTTGAGAGAAGCCATGGTGTTAGCATTTCGTGGATGCATGAGATGTTCACACGTGATTACATGTACCTGGCGTATGAGGTCACCGACAGGATGGCGGCTGACATCTACACCAAGGCGTTCAATGATGGGCGCAAATGGAAACATGCATGTTTGCAGATCGGTCTACTTGACCCGAGCTTGCTGTCTGACCCGGATACCCTCAAGGCGCTCACACCCACGTGTGATCCCATAAAGGGGACCATGCAGACTGCTTCGGGAACAGTTGACGGAGTTCCAACATTTCCGTACACACACATTCCGATCATGCCCCCGGACCTGTGGTGGTCTGGATTGACATCCAAAGAGGGATTGCATGAGCATGAAGGACATGATCCGGTTGTTGTTGCCAAGGGGCCCAGATTGATGCGTGTGAAACCTCCACTTGCGGTTATGACACCGTTCGGGAGCAAGTGGCTTCGTTCCACTTGGTTTCTGAAGAACGGGTCATGGCTCAAGGTTGAGGATAGAGTTGACCCAGGGCTGCAATGTGTGCGGATTGATGGATGGGTTGAACGCGCAGTTTGGCAGTTTCATCCCGTACCGGTTGCTGTACCGGCGCGGGAACGGTCTCCACGGCCACGACCAATTCACGTCGGGTCCGGGGATGTTGACATGCAGTCCGTGCTGGCCGCATTTGTTGAAGAACTGTCGAACGAGCGCATAGAGTTGAAATGTGTTAACGACCTTGCTTTGGAAACGTTGCTCCGGTTGAAGTTGCTCATGCGTTGTCTGCATATCAATCACGAGCAGCTTGTCCCTGGTCGTTGTTTTGTTCCGTATCGCATTGCGGTGAAGCACAAGCCACAGTTAGCGCCGGGTATTGAACTCGCGATGGTTAAACACGACGGTGGTGTGCTTCGCGCTCCTGTGCATGTCTCGCTTCCTGGTATGAGAACTCGCACAGTCGTCACTCTTTACAGTGTTGACTTGGCTCGGCCCATTGTGCTGATGGCATGTTCCGAACCGCGTAACTGGTTCACTGCCCTTGCCCGCCATAACGGGCCGCAGGTCGTCACCATAACTTGGTTGATGACTTACTGAGCGAGTACGGGGGGAGAATCGCCAGACATGTGCTTACCAAACCTTCCGATTTGTTGTTCTTCGCCGGGCCTTGCACGGGGGGATCATCATGGGCACGCCTCAACAAGACTCGCGGAATTGACACCGCAGAGAAAATCGAGGCCAAACAAAGAGAATTTTGGAGATTGTTTGAACGGTTCGTTGAGATTAAACGGCATGCCATGACGAAACGAGCTGCGATTTTGTTTGAGTTGCCTGGAAGTTGTGATTATTGGAAAGATGAGAGACTGCATGAGGTTGTGCGTGATGGGACTAGTCACGAGTTTGATGGGTGTCGCTATGGCTTGAAACAAAGATATGCAAAGAAACCCATGCCAATCAAGAAACCATGGAGAGTTTCTCATGGAACTTTGAACTTGGCGGCTCGTTGTCTAAGAAATGCAATGGAAACCATGAGCATGGACCTTGTGCGGTCGTGAAACCAAAGAAACCCTGTTGTACACGTCGATAATTGTGGGTGTGATCCTTCGCCGTTTTCGTGCTCGAGCAAAGTGCCTCAAGCCGGCACCATTGAAACTCGCTCTTGCCTGCATTACGCGAGGGAGATCGCGGAAGCATCAAGCTACTGCGCGAGGAAGTTGCACCACCCCAACTGTGCCACCGAGGTGCTGGGTCAGTCCCGAACCTCTGGTGCCTACGGGGAGCTGGGTCAGTCCCGAACCCCGAGTTTCAAGGAGGAGTTGGACCAGTTCATCACCTCAATCGGAAACTGGGCTTGTGTTGGGACAATTCCGTGGCTTTATTTGCGTGGATGACCTTTTGGCAGCACTGCGTCGCAGTGACGCAAACGCACAGCTGGCCCTCATTGTCATGTTTTTTGCAGCAATATCGGCCCCGATCTCCTGGAAGAAGGTTCAATTTCAAAATAACCTCACGTGGTGTGGATGGCGCATTAATTTCCTGCGCGAGACCATCGAACTCACGCCAGAAAAAACCATAAAATTGAAAGGACAGCTGCACGAGCTGCTCAAAGCAGGGAAGGTCAAGCGAAAACTTTTGGAGCAGGTTCTAGGCCTTCTCATTTGGGCGACCAGTCTGAGCCCCGAACTCAGATCCTGGCTGGCACCTTTGTACACAGACTTGCACTCGCCGCCGGGTTGCATGATCTCGGTCCATGCGCGTTTGTGGCCATCCTTCCTTTCAGCATTAGACGCCAAAGCCGTGCTCAGGTCAGCAGTGCGCGGCATTTTTATGCCACCAGGCTCTAAGGTTCTAGAGTTCCAAGGAGCATGCATTCGCACGCCATCCGACCTGCCTCGCGTGGTGCCTAGCCACAAATCCGCCTGGGTGCGCGTAGCGGACGCTTCCGCAGAGCACACTCGCCTGTCCAAACTGAGCAAACAGAGCGTAGAATGGTTGCTGCAATGCTTCCACCTAGACCTCGCATGCTACGAAGCAAGCCAATGCTGGCATGCAAAGCAGCCGCGGATGCCTGCGCCGAGGGCAGTATAGTGGGCATAGGGGGTTGGTTCATCTCCAGCAACTCCGTGTCTTGGTTCGCAGAGACGTGGCAATTCCAGGAAGTCCAAGAACAATGGCCATGCCTCACTAAAGAAGCCCAACGTTACATCGCATGCTTCAAAACCTTGGCTCAACTGGCACTCATGCGTATCGCATGGTCCTGCCAGGGCCAAAGCGTGCATGGCATTTGCATGCCCACAGGGACGGATAACACAGCCTCCGAAGCAGGTGTTAATAAATTGTTCACTACTGCTTGGCCTTTACAAGTCTTTGTGCAACTTGTAGCCGCCTGGGCCCATAAGCACAAATGGTCCGTGATCGCGTCACACATCCCAGGAGAGCACAACATCTGGGCGGACCAGCTCAGCACAAATAATACCTCCGCATTCCAGGCTCGACCATATGCCAGAGTGCGCTTTAGGCCGCATGACTTCTGGCCTCACGCATCAGCTCTCACGCTTCACCCTGCGGACGCACCGTGGAGACCCGAGCACGTGGCTGCATCGCAAACGCACTGAAGAGGGGGTGAGGTGATTTGACCGTTTGCTTAGAACTCTAAAGTGGGGGCATTCCGACAGGCTCCGCATGAGATGCAGGAAGATGGAGTGGACGCGCATCGTCACTCCACCTGCATCTCAGAGCCTGCACTTCTAAGCAACGCTCAAGTAAAAAAGCGCGTGTCGAGTTTGCTCCGGACGGTTGCTTTTTTCTTTGCATGTCCCTTTAGGCTTGAAGCAGTGACCAAGATTCTAACGCTAGGGGTTTGTCTTTTCCCCTGTGTTTTAATCTTGGTTGAATCTTCAGCCGCGTGGCCATTTCTGCTTCAAGCCTTTTAGTAAGGGACATGCCTTGAGGGTTTGACCCCTCTTTCGTCCTTTTTTGAACCCACCCTCCCACCCTTTCACGGCCCAGGTGGAAACCAGCTTCCACAAGGCCTGATTGAGGGATGAACGCAACATTTCGTTGGCTTACTGCATCTCGCTGCTCCCGCAGGACCAGTTTGAGCATATGCAGCGAGGCCCATGCTGTGCACGCAATCGCACATCGCCGAATGCCATCGGCATTCCGTCAGACCAGCCTGGTCCCCTGCAGGAGGACGCAATCCTCCCATGCATACCTATGCACGCATTGCATACATGTGCCAAATACCTCCTATTTGTCTCACACCCCATGGGTAAAACACCCTGTGTGATGGTCGAACACGCAATGTTGACCACAGGGGGCATTCCGACAGGCTCCGCATGAGATGCAGGAAGATGGAGTGGACGCGCATCGTCACTCCACCTGCATCTCAGAGCCTGCACTTCTAAGCAACGCTCAAGTAAAAAAGCGCGTATCGAGTTTGCTCCGGACGGTTGCTTTTTTCTTTGCATGTCCCTTTAGGCTTGAAGCAGTGACCAAGATTCTAACATGTTTGTTTTTGTGAAAGACTAGAACATGACCGGGTCCGCCCAGCAAACAAGCAACATTTGTTCACTTCGAGTTGCACACAGGAACTTGCGACCAAGAGGTTCGCTTTGAGAAGGCATCGCCCAATTTATGAAACATGGGGGCCTTCAGTTTTTTGAGCTGTCGATGTTGTTTCCGCAGCGTGCGGCTGAAGCTGGGACATATTGATCACCTTTGAGTTGCACGTGTTTTGCAAGTCCGTGTCCCACAAGGAAGGCCAAACATGTTGTTCGCATTCAATCTTGGAATCAGAAGCTTTGTCACGATGATTCCATAGCTCTTTTGAGCCTTTGCCCGATGCATCCCATGTGAATCAATATTGAGCTTCTCCACCCTGCTGTGCTTTTGCTTGCTACCCAGGAACCTTTGCCTGAGTTCAGCAACTGAACCACTGAGCCAAGTCGCGCAGTTTTTTTCTGGTGCCTCCATTGGCCTCAACCGCGCCGGGAAAGACACTGTGAGCCTTGAGCTGCAGCGCAGCTTGATCCAGCCATGCCGTTCATGGGCAAGGCAGCCACAGAATCGCGGTTCAAAGAAGTCCAGTGCCGTGGAATTTCCTACAAACAAAGCTACCCAGAGGTGAAATAGCTATCCATTGGGTCAACCACAGCCCAGAATCGCTTACGACTCACAGCAGAGGCTGAGTCAACTTGGGCAAGCCAAAGGCAATGAGGGCCTAAAGGACACGAACCGAAGTGTGAGGCAGAATTGACTGCCGATCGCCCAGGGTTCACAATGCTTCAATGGATGGGCAAACGTGCCGTGCGCTTCTTTGGCATGGCCAGGTGCTGGGCCACGAGAGCACGAGATCGCTCATGCTCATCGAGGCGCAATGGATGCCGCAAGCATGACAGTCAATCATTTGCGGATTTGCGTGTCTAATGCAACACTTTTGTGCCGGATCTAGTTGGATGCACTCCGCGCTGGGTTCCAGGGTTCGGATTTCATGTTTCAATTGGATTGGTGAAACTAATAGCTGCTGTTGTGTCACAACTGAACCTCCAATCCATCAACCCAAGCCTGAGTGAGATAAATTTGCTGCCATTTAACATGTATACAGAATTGACCTAGACTCCCCTAAACATGCCCCTGGCCATTGGCCGCAACAATTGATTAAGGCTAACCTCTTCACCATGGTATGCAAGATGTGCTCTCACCAATGCATGTCAATGTTGCGTGCGAAGTAGCTTCCTGTCTTCGGGGCCACAAAGTAGCGACACGCAGCGCCAGTAAAGTGCAGTCCTCACCATCGGACGTCTCAGTTGCACATGTCAAGCCTTTTGCCTTTTGCCGTGAGACCTGCATTTGCCGATTCATTACCAGGTCAGATCCCATGAAGTTTGACGAGTTGACAAAATAGGAAATTGTAAGGAGGGCATGTGTTCTCAGGCAGTCATTTCCAAGTCGTCAAACTCGGGATTCTTCTCAGAATTGAATGTGTTTGCCCTTAAACATTGCTGGTTGCGTCCAACTGACCATACAGCTGGGCTCCGCACCGCGCTCGCGATCCCCCAAATAGCGCCACTAGAATCGAGAAAGGGGTTCGAGCAAGACACGTGTTGTGTTTGCTGCCATTCAAGGGCTAAACTAGATTTTATTCTCTGGGGTCTTAGGCATCAAACGACATGTGGGTGGTTCTTTGTGACATGACCTGAGGGCATGTGGATGCGTTGTATTCGCTGCAGGTTGTAGCGAGCCTCTTGTTGGAGATTACTCCAAAGTCTTTACAGCATGTGAAGGATCTATTGTCTCGGCCCAGGCATGCTGGTCTGGGCAGTTTTTTGTTTGTTTTTGATTGCATTGAATTAATGCCATACTGCCAGGCTCAGGCTAGTTGGGAGGACTACTAAGCAGAGGGGTACCCTTGACATGGATTGTTCCCCACTTAGAGGGAACAGCATCAAACTTGTTTGGATGTTGTTGCAAATCCAACTAAATCCTTACTCAACATTGCAGGATCATTCCATCTTGTCACGTCCCTGCTTGCAGGACAGTGCTGCGATGATCGCGAGAGCCAACGAGGCGCCCTTGGCTGCTCTTTTGTTCTTGGTTCCAAACGGGCAACCTTTTGCTTCTGGGTCCTTTGGACAAGCGAGTCTTGGTTGGCTGTACACGTCTTGTGCACAGGGTTTTAGTTGGAGCAATTATTCTCTCTGGCCGCGCCTTCATGATTCTCTTTGGATTGTGTCCAACTGTTCCCCAAGGCGGTTTGGGCAGAGCTTGGAACGTCAATTCTCGTTGGGTGCCAGATTTCTAATTTCCCCCAAAAAAGTAAGGCCGCAAGCCGGACATTTGCAAGGTACCGCTGGAGCGCATCGGAACCAGCCAGGGTCACAGCCACTGCGGTCGTTTCGACACGACAGACCTCTGACAGAGCTGTAACGAAAGCGCCCTTCGACCCGAGTGAGCCACATGTTTGGGCCCATCATATCTTGAATAAGGCTTTTGTTGCCTTATTGACACGCTTGACGCCTGGTTGACACCAGGCTTGCCATTTGGAAGCCAGAGCTTGTTGCCCAAGGCGTGGAGCTGGATTACACTGTGGCTTTCTTGAAGGACAATTTGGCGTCTGTGTTTTTTTTTGCAGCTATTTGTGTTTCGTATCTGACAGCTGAGAGGCACCCACGCCTTCGGAGAGACTTTCTCTTCAAAGCGAAATCTTGCGCTTCGTTTGTTGGTCACAAATGACTGCCCAATGGGCCCAATGGGCTGCCTCCTTTCGGCCTTGTTCGCCGAGCTGATTGGTGGGTTGAGTCAAACAAGCTCTTACCTCACCTGGCGACTCTTTGCGGATTATTCGGGGAATCGACCTCAAAAAGTGCCAGTTTCAACCCAGGCGAGATCATTGAGGGTTGGGTTGCCAGACATATGCGTTGCATTCGGCTAGTGTGGTTCAAGAGAATCACTGCCGTAAAGAGAGCAGCGCCTGACAAAACCTGGGGCCCGCTCCAAAATCAAAAACATACGATGTGCAAATGGGAAGCACAGATGTCACCAATGGCATAGATATACACACACACACACACACATTGGGAATCCCTCAGGCAGGCTTGTGCACTCTGGGGGTCCCGACGGGGGCCATTTCGGCATGCTTCCCGGGCTTTGGGGTGCCATGTCATTCAGTTTTCGGGGTTGTTTTACATACCCGGCAGCATTGTTCCCAAACGGAGCGGTCATTTCGAATGCGCATCTTTGTTTACATCCTCGTTCAGTATTTTCTGCATCGACATATCTTCGCCAGAAAGGGTTTGCTGCACAGCGCTATGCGTCTGTCCGAGACGCCAAAAAGAATGACATGCGTAGGACAGCCTTGTCGCCGGCCTCGATGAGAGGCTTGACCTGGATCAGGTGGGGGGGCCTGGGTCCTTTGTCAAGTGTCTTCGTCGGTCGCCTATACCCCTTGGAAACCAAAAGGTATGTCTTGGCCCATCTGGACAAAACAGGACCTGTGCAGGCCCAGGCTGAGGCCAGCTTGTTACGTAGGCTTTGCGGAGAGGCCTCTGCGTGCGTGTTGCTCTTGACAGGCTCCTACTTGTGTTGGGCGTAACAAGCATGTTTATGGAACCTATTCCAGGCTATCATGGGAGCACAATACCTCAAATCCTGGCTAGAATTGGCCAGAGTTTCGTGCACAACACGGCAGCCAGGGAAAGCCATCGGTTGCGCATCTATTGGCCCATATCCTATACAAAATCTCGAACCCCCCCCCACATGGCAGGCCCCTGATGATAGATATATATATATATATATATATATATGTGATTAGCCATGGTTAATATCATCATCAGGGACGTCGCGGTAGTGACCGACCTGTGGTGTTTTGGCTCAAGTTTATGGGTTCCGTCGCGCCTCGAATGGGCGTCGCCGAACCCCTGCGTCGACCGACGGCATCTTGGGGGAGAAAGAGACCTCGGGCCGCTGCCAGGTTGGTAGGGACCAGTCGTGCGGCCTGTTGTCGACCAAGGTTGCGGGTTAACCCTTTTCTCTTTTGGTTTGTTTCCCTTTTGGTTGTTGTTCTCTGGTGTGTGGGAAACCCTGATCTTTGGGACCGGGGATTGGTTTGCTTTTGGGGAACCTTTCTTTTGTGGCTTGTTTACCCCAACTTACCCATTGCCTGGGCACAGGCTCGTGCCCGAATCACAGGTTATCAGCCGTAGGACTTTCCTACGCGCTTGAGACCATCAACTACAAGCTCTATGTCGACCCCACGATCACACAGGAGTGTCGTGGATGAGGAGGCCATCCGGGGGCCTCCGCTCAGGTGAGGACCTACCGGACGACGACTACGAGGATTTCGAAAGGTTCGACAGGTCAGGACCGCAGGGGTGAAGATCCCGGTAGGGACACACCCAGGAGCCGTGGCAGGTACACCGACGATGGGGACGATCGCATTTTCCGTCAGGCCACTGATGACGAGCAGGCACAAAGAGTTCGCTCCGATAGGAGCGGCTCTGAGTCAGGTCGCAGGCGCGGACAGTTTGACTTCATCAGCATGGCGATGAACATGGCCCGCCCTCATTCGGACGACCCGGAGGCCATGCCGACCCGACCCCCGAGATCTCTCGTTCCAGGTGAATCGCAGGTCTCGGATGCGTTTGAGGACAGGTCGCAGGGACCAGGGACTATGGTTTTGGCTCCGAGAGATACCTCGGGTCGATCCACTGGTTCTCAAAATCCAGGTCAGTTTGATGAGCACGAGGAGCGGAAATTCAAAGGCTTCGGATACGATGCTCTGTTGAAATCAACCGCAGGGGGTCTGATGCCGATAGGCCCAACCCTAATACTGCCAAGTCTGAGCTTGATAATGGCGAAGGTTACAATTTTGCGGATGAGGAGGAGGACCATTCGCGCCGCAATGCGGGAAACCGTGCTGCTGCAAGGCCCAGCCCTGCCGCTGCCGAGTTTGAGTTTAATGATGATGAAGATTACGCCGCATTTGCGGATCGTCGTGATGAGGAAGAGAACCAATCACGCCGAAATGCAAGGAGCCGTGCTGCTGCGAGGCCCAGGAGCCTCTCTCGTGGAGCCGCCAGGGATTCGTGTTGATAGGGACGCCCGAAGCGAGAGAGAGAGAACCAGAGATAGCCGGGAAGCGATTGGAGGCCATCCATGACCGGGAGGGACCGATAGGTCCTCCAGTGGTTGGTGATACCCCGAATGTTCCCCCTTTTCCCAACATTACTTTTGGAGGTCCGTTGAATCAGAGGGACGGGGACTCGAACCGGGGTACTGGTTCGCCGAGGATCACTGAACGGGCTGCCGATGTCGTTGGGACAGGTGCTAGAGATGGTCGGCTTGCCGATGCACTTGGAATCGAAGATCGTCCGTCGATCGCTAGCCCGTTAGGGCGAGATCCCAGCGACCTTGAAACGCTAAGGTCTAGCAACGAGTTCACACCTCAATGGGGATTGACCGCCAGGGAACGTAGTGCTTCCGCGAAGAGGCCGTCACCCCTGGCCATTGAGACCGATAGGTCAAAGGCGAGGAGGGCTAGCCCTTCGTTCGATCCTGCTGATGTTCAAATCCACTCTACTCCTGAGTCTCGTGCATCCAATATTGATCCCCGATCTGGCGATAGCCGGAGAAGGGGGTCAACCCCGAATAGACCACCCAGGATTGATGGTAGTCCTGTAGGCGACCCCAGAAGATATGCCAGAGCTAGTGGGGCTCCTGAGAGGATCGAGATATCGACTCCTCCGGCCCACAGATCTCATTCTTCCGGTGAGTCAGGTGACGCTAGGGCAAAGGAGGTGTTTGATTTGCACATCCAGGAGATGCTCGAGAGGGGTGAGGTGTCTGGTTCAGTCGCGAAAGCGTTCCATATCTTTGCTGACCAAATCAGGTTACTGAACGGTCAGGTGGGTTCCATGCGAAAGGAGTGGAGCGACCAGAATCAGCAGACGAAGGACAGGGTCAATCGTTTGGCTACTGAGATTGCGACTCAGTCTGATGCCGGTAGGATGCGAATGATAGTTCAGCGGTTTGCCAGCGAAGTTATCCCTGACAGCAAGGGCGAACGCGAATTTCAGGGAACTAAACCTGAAGCTCGAGAAGATCCTCGTTGAACACGAGAAGTTTGCTAAGTGGGCCTCCGAATCTATTGGTGGTATCAATGAAGAACAGATTATTCTTGCTGATCGAATGTCGAGGTTGCAGAGCGGAAGGGGGTCCCAGGCGGTCGATAGACCGTCAGGGCCTGATTCCCCGCAGGACTGGCATGAAGCGATTGACGAGGTCCATCAGAAGATCCAGGATCTATCTCGCGGAGTTCAACGTCAACGTCGGGATCATGACGATGTCATTGCGAGGTTTGAGACCGTGAAGTCCCATGTTGAGCAGTGCGAGGCAAGATCGGGAATTCTGAGTCAAGTTCTTGATGATATCAGGAGACAGATTCGTAACCTCCCGGCGAGTAGTGATCAAGCACGGTCTGCCGTTAGGCGCAAGCTGGATTCATTTCGCAACTCGCAGGAAGCCGCAATGCGGAGGATCACTACTGTTGAGAGTAACATGCGTACTCTGAATGGAATGAACAACAGAATCATGGCCCAGCTTTCTGAAATCGAGGGTCATGTTGATGAGGCTGCTGACATTATTCAGGGTGTCCAGCAGAATCAGGAGAGCCCTCGAAAACCCAGAGGCGGAATCTTGGGTACAACGCATTTGCTGGACAGGGACACAGAATCAGGTCACCGACACCCACTCCTGGCGAGGGAAATGGTCGGGGTACTGATCTTCCAGCAAGGCCGGGTGGGGGTGTTGGCTTGTCTGGCCAAGCGTTGCCGACTGTGCCCGATAGGGTCGATCCTTCTCGTGCGGACAGGCATCCCATTCATCCCGATAGGGAGAGGGCAGACAGCAGAAGTGACGTCGCAAGAATGCTCAGGAGGTTTCAATGTATCTCTGCTCTGATTGCGGAAATAACGTATGTGAGGATCACATTCATTTTGGCAGTGACTGCCTTGAGCGGTGTGCGCGTTGCAATAAACGGCATGAGCGCGCTGACGCTAGACCGCCCCCTCCTCCTCCTGTTGGGGGAGGAGGTGGGCCAGGCGGACCATCCGGCCAAGGTGGGAGCGGAAGCGGTGGTCATGGACCTGCTCCATTTCCACCGCCAGAACCCGGGCATCCCGGCGGAGGCCAAGGTCCCGCTGGACCGCAAGTGGTGGGGCTCCAACCGGGGGATACCCTGGTGGAGCGTCCGGGTTCTATGGCACTGCTGCTGACTCTCATGAAGCTGAGAACAATCAATGTGGTTCGAGTTTCTATGGTCCAGCTTTTGGGTGTGGCGTCTACAATCAAGGCGTCGGGCCCGGCGTTAGCCAGCAAAGCGTTGCTCCGGGTTACCCTGCGAGCATTGGGCATGCCAGTAACCCTGGAGCGAGTCCGTGTCATGGCTACAGTGTCAACGGGCCGGTAGGCCAGGAGATGGCGGTCTTCTTCCTGAAGCAATTGGAGATGACGGGCGGGACAAGTGCACTAAGTGTGGTCTCAGAGTCCCCATTACCGGCCTGTGTGCTGTCTGCCGCCGGCTAGGTTGTGTGAGAGCTGCAGGATCACGTCATGTACCCCGATAGGGGCCCTCATTTCGACTGTTGCTGATAAGGACCGGTACCATCACAAATGCAACACTATCACGTTGCCTCCTGAACCGACAGCTGAGAAGCTTCGGGAATGGGTCAGGAATGCTTTCAGTTTCGACTCTGATTACGCGTTAGCGTGGATTTCAGAGACTGAAAGGCTCGACTATGACGCTCTTGGGGGGCCCTGTAAGTACCCGGTTTTGGATTCCAACTTCACGAGTGCCATCAGGGACTGCATCAAGACGAGGGCCGTTAGGGATAAGATGAATCGCCTAACAGAAGCTGCTCAGAATATGACCCCTCCTCAGGGCATCAAGGGGAGGCAGATCTTGAAGCTCTTGCTGAACCATCTGCAGACTGGAGTCGAAGATGACCAGACATTCCAAGTTGACCAGTCTCAAGTGTCGACAGACAGGTCACTCCGATGATGAGGCCAGATCGATGATGGGGTGCTGCTAGCTGTGTTCATCGAGAACGTTCGTCATCTACGCTGCATGCGGCCTGACAGCGAAAGGTGGGATCGCGATGAGACCGTTAGGTCTTTTCAGTGGCTCTATAAAGCTTGTCAGGACTGTGTTGAGCGATGGCAAAAGCGACAGAACACGCTTCAGATGTATCAGACCTTCATGAGCAGAGGTCCCGATCGGGATCTCACTCTCGTGAGAGAGATCGGCATCCTGGAGCTCCTGGGGTTGTTCGGAGATATGACCCGCTCGCGAGGAAAAGCGACCCAAGTCCCTCGAGGTCCGTTAGGTCCGGAAGGGA